TTGGAAGCGAGAATGGCCAGACTTTGTCTCACCTACTTTGGTCATGTTGTCAGAAGGGACCATTCCCTGGAGAAGGATGTCATGCTTGGTAGGGTGGAGGGTTGACAAAAGAGGGGAAGACCTTCAACGAGATGGATTGATACGGTGGCTGCGATGATGGGCTCAAGTATAGCAGGGATTGTGGGGCTGCCACGGGATCGGGCAGTGTTTCGTTCTGCTGTGCATGGGGTTGCTATGAGTCAGAGATGACGGCACCTAACAACAGCAACCCCGAGCTCCCTTCGTGTCTCCTGGTCTGTCCCGTCTCCCGTGCACCCCGAGCTCCCTTCGTGTCTCCTGGTCTGTCCCGTCTCCCGTGTACCCCGAGCTCCCTTCGTGTCTCCTGGTCTGTCCTGTCTTGCTCTAGCACCACGGCGTTTCCCATATTGCAGCTTATTCAATACCGAATGGTGTGTCTTCTGTTGTTACTTCCTCCCATCCCACACTGTTTTGGCTAATCTGGTGAATTTATTGTTTCCAAGAATTTTTAAATGATTTCTTCAAATTAAAAGAAGAAACCCCACTGGGATTTTGTTGGGGGTTTGCAATGAGTTTGAAATTATTTTTGTGAGAATTGTGTCCTTATAGTACTGCTGTGGAGTGTGTCACCGTCTCTGTGTTTATATGTCCTATTTTAGTTTCTGCAGCGTAGTGTTGTAGTTTTCTTCTTATCAAACGGGAACCTTACTTTTAACTTTATTCCTGGGCGTTTTGTCGTTATCTTTCTCGAGCTCTGCTTCTCGTCCTCTCTCTTGTTTCTCCCTTACTCTTCTCTCCACCCTCTCTACCAGCAGAGCCTGAGACAGTGTCCCATGTCCCCAGACACTAGATTGAAATGATTTTATTGGTCCATCACTGTGAAATACAGTGAGAAACACTCATTGGTGCCCTTCCTAGGTTTGCTGTATGGATTTGCATACACACATACGTGTGTGTACATGTGTCAGGCTGCCTCCCGCTTGGTGAGTGAGAAGCACAGCTGTTGCTTCATTCACAGAGAATGGTAGTGAGGTCTTCCAGGCAGGTTCATGCCTGGCTTCAGCAGTGATTTTCTGTTGGGTTTCTGAATTCAGCAGAAGAGGTGAAATGGAGCAGTGGTCATTCTTTTGAGACACTGCTGCCAGACCATTTTAGGGGTCAGAGTGGCTCAGTGAGATGGCCAAAGTCATGCAGTGGCATCATTTGAACTAGAACGTGGGTTGTCTTCTGCGCAGATAACATGAGAGCGGGGTTGGGGGGTAGAAGCCCCTCCTTGGTTGAGTGCAGTGTCCTGAGAGAGTCCTCAGTGGTCCCCTGCTTTAGTTTATGTCTGTGGTGGCCCCCCAGCGAAGGTCACTCTCTCCTGATTGATTGAGTTTCTGTCAGCAAGAACTTCTGACACGCTGCACCCGCACGGGCTTTCCAGATCGCCTCCACGGGCACTTTGTGAACAAGATGTACGAAACCACCAGCCATAACAGGGTGATAGTCAGCCCCACGTCCTGTGTGCGTGGGGGACTATCTGAGGCTGGTGTGTGGATTGTTTGAACAGAATTAAGGTGCCAGTCTGTGGTGCTGAAATGCCTCCCTAATGGAGAGGCACAGAATGGCCTTGGGTTTGGAGTTGGACAGACTCCAGTGAAACCAGTTCTAGCTTTGGGACCTTGGGCAGGAAACTTTACTTTTGGGGTCTCACTTTCTTGATCTGTGTCTTGGTTCTCTGGTGCTGCTATGACGGAAACACCGAGTGAATGGCTCCACAAAGAGGAACTGATTTTGTCACAGTTTAGGAGGCTAGCAGTCCAGGTTCCGAGCTCGGCTCTGGGGGGTGTCCTTGTCTCTTCAGCTTTTGCTTCTGCTTCCTGGTTCCCTGGAGACGTCCTTGTGGTTTGGCGTCCATCTCCCCCCATCTCTGCTCTGCTCATTTGTTTCATCTCTTTCATATCTCAGAAGAGTTTGACTCAGCACACACCTTACACTAATTCTGCCTCATGAACATAACAAAGACATTCTGTTCCCAAGTGGGATTATAACCACAGGCATAGAGATTAGCATTTACAACTTTTAGTTTTTGGGGATGCAATTCAATGCATAACAATCTGTAAGTAAGGAAAATACTCCTTTTAGTTTTTTTTTTTTTAAGACTTGAATGAGGTCATTCCTTTATTCATTCCTCCTGCAGTATCCTGGGGCCTTGGCGGGCAGCTGACAGGGACCTGCATGGAGACCGAGCAGGGGCCCTGACATTGCAGAGCTTGGCTGAAGGCTAAGGTTTGTAGGAGGCCAGTGTCCAGTGGGTTTGCACTCAGTGTCTACTCCTTGCCTGCTCCCCATGGTTGTGTACTCCAGCCTGCTGATTCTACAATATATGAACCATTTCTCAGGACTGCACTTTATTTATTTATTTTTTTATTAGGACTTGGGTGAAGATTTACAGAGTAAATTCACTTTTCATACAGCAGTTCACATATACTTTGTCTCATGTCATTGACCAAAATTTACAATGCAGCAGCTCCCCTCCCACTTCCTCCCCATAGTTACCTCCTCCCAGTGTCCATCCCTTCATACTCTTCTGCACCCTGAGCTATCTCCCTGTGCATAAGCAGCCCTTCCTTCTCCCATGATTGTTCTCTCCAGGGCGTGTGTCTACTTGAGGTAAATGTTTAACTCACATGCCTGTACTTTGTTTGGCTGGAAACCACAGTTGTGGGTTCAATTCCAAACCTGAAGGCAGCTAGGGGCCATAGTCTCAGTGGTTTCACCAGGCTCTATTGGACCAGCAAACCTGGTCCCCACCTTCTTTTTTTTTTTTTGCCTCCAAATGATTTTGAGTTTTGTACCACATTGTTCTCCCTCTTTATGCAGGATCTCCTACATCCCTTCCAAGTGGATGGCAGTGGTTCAGGACTGCACTTTAAATCCTTGTGTGATATAATTTAAAATAGATACATTTAACCAAACTGTGTGAAGAAAAAAACATTGAGCCTGTAGTCTTACTGTGATAGAAACTTTTAAGAGTTTTGAAGGAAGTCATTTTATTTCAATAGAATCACTTCATTACATTAGGTTTTTTCATTGTGTTGTTAAATGGTATGTAAAAATTCATAGGTTTCTGACTTCTCTGTTGGAGTTTAGGTACATACGTGTTATTTTTTGTGGTGGCCTTTTATAAATTGTATTAATGTAACACAAATTAAGTGCATGTTATGTGAGCAGAAAAGAGGAAGGAATATAGACTTGCTCCTTCCTGGCACAGTGATGATAATGTTTATTTTTCTGCCTTATAAATAATTTTACTAAGAAAGATCCCCAGTAATAGCATTACATCTGGATAACTGATAAATAGGTAGATGCATTTATAGGGGAAGTTATACTGTGTTGGACCTGTAACCAAAAAGCCAAACCTACTGCCACAGAGTCAATTCTGACTCACAGTGACTCTTTAGGATAGAGTAGAAGTACCCTATAGACTTTCCAAGGCTGTAAATTTCTCCAGTGAAGTAGTTGGGTTTGAACTGCTGACCTTTTGGTTAGCAGTTGAATGCATTAACCACTGTGTCAGCAGAGCTCCTTGTAAGGGCCTTGTGAGTTAGGTGGTTGATTCTCACAGTATGTGCTGGGCCTCAGTGAAGCAGTTTCAGTGTGTCGTCCCTGCCTGGCCTTGGGTGCTTGTGAGTCTGAGTGCACCGGCATCGACCTCTATCAACCCTTTCTTCAACAGCTGGAATATTTTTTCAGTTAGTATATCAACTGAAAACACCCTAGTTTGGGATAATTAAGGGAATATATAAAAATAAAAAGTGTTTGGAGTAGAAAAGAAAAGAAGTAAGAAGTAAGACATTTAACCTGGGGCATTTTCCAGTGTCGCCTTGGGCGAGGGGGTGGGTGAGGAGCCTTGCATTGGAATCTGCCCGTCCCTCTGTCTGGGCCCACCGTGTTTCGCAGTGGCCAGGGCAGCGCTCCTGGTGTGAGGTGAGAATTGACGCTGGTAAACGGATGTGCACAGAGCCTTTCCTGTTCCATAGATTGTCCTTCTTCTCAGCAACCATAGTGGGATTGGAGAAGTAGGAACAGGCAACTCTGGGATGGAAAATCAGAAAGACCTTGGATATTTAAACAGAAGACCAATACAGGGAACCATATTTTTGCAACAAAGTAAAATGAGTTTACAAGGATTGCACTAACTACAGGTGTGAGAAAGTCTAAAACTGTTGAGACAATGGGTATGATCAGCTGAAATGGGTGGCAAAGTGTCCATCGTTACTACCCTGATATTTTGTAAAATGTCAAGTTTTTGTGATTGTTTTATTTTAATGAATGCAAATTAGGTCTTCAAACCAGTTCAGCCTGGTTCAGTCATGACCAATGAGGCAACACCGCAGCGGACTAGAATTGTAAACCAAGAATGGGGAGAATGAGAGGTTGGCGCCCTCCTAGGACCTCAGTCTCCCTCTTGGAAAGCAAGGTCAGCGTGTGCATTGCACACCAACCAAATCTCTGACCAGCAGAGTTGTAAACTGTGGTGGCCGGCTCAGAAATGACGGCTGACCTCACGGCTTTGAATGGGTGTCCCCCTCCAAAGTCTTGGCAATAATCCAGCCTCCCGCATCAGGCTGCTAGAGGGCTCCCTGCGCCTCTTCCAAGTCTGCTGTTCCAGGACTGTGACCCGCAGTGCTTCCCGTTCTGGTTAGTGTTATATTACCCAGATTTAAAAAAATCCTCTCTCTTCAGTTTCCGCTTGTTGGCCATGACTGAGCTGGTTTGAACTGGTGTGAAGCACTGTGGGCATTCATAGGCTCATGCAGTCCCCCCAGCTTCCTTCTCCCCCAAACCCATGCTCTCCTCCTGGGGGTGTGTGTGTGAGACAGGGTCCCTGCAGCCGGGGAAGTGCCCTGAAGTCTCTGCCCCTCCACGGCTCTGAAGACGCTGTGGCAGAAAGGTCCCCTCTTCTTGTTGACCGAGGCACCTGCTTTCTCCTGCAGTATAAGAACGCGGGTGTGATTGAGCTGGAAGCTTGCGTCAAAGCGGTGCGTGTGCTCGCCATTCAGAAGCGGAGCATGGAAGCTTCGGAATTTCTTCAGAACGCGGTTTACATTAACCTTCGACAGGTGAGTGCGTGTCGGCTGCGCGCGAAGGACGCAATGCCGTTCTCGTGGGATTTGTTCTCTGCTGACGCGGCTGGTTTTGCTGGGACTCAGTCTGCCATGGTAGACTCTGTGGTGTGCTAAGTGGGCTCTCCGAGGAAGGTGCTTATTCGTATGTTTCACGTCTTTATTTTGTGGTATCTTACTTTCAGAATTCAGAATTTGCTCTCCTTTCAGACTTTTCTATGTTTTCAGGAGGCAGACATAGCTTTGCCTCCCGCTAGCTTTGCAACCTCAAACAAGCTTCGTCTTTTCTGTCTTAACTCTGCCATCTGTGAAGTCATTCCCATCGGAAATGAGCAGATCTGCCCGGCTGGCTGGCTGGTTAGTCTCATAAAACATGAAGCTGGTGAAAAATCTTCGTATAGCATCTTTCACACGGTAGATACTCAGCAAATATTACTTCAATCTGAATTTGGATATGGCTTTTAATAAAAACAAAACCTTAAACCAAAAAAGCACCCTAAAGTCTTCTTGAAACCAAGCAGTAGTTCAACTTCACTCGTGAAGAAGGTCTCCCCTGAGAACCGAGCTCTTTTCAGATCGGTGTGGAGTCACACTGACAGCACCAACTCGGAAGGTTCCATAGGAGCCTGAAGGGTGGTGAGTTCATGTGAATGAGGGAGGAGCAGCTCAGAAAAGGGGGTGAGGATGGTTGCATTGTCAGCATCACTGAATAGCGTGTGGAGAAACTGTTGAGCCGGTGTGTGTGCTGGTGTGTAAATTCTCAACAACAAATGAATAAAATTTAAAAAGTATTGGAACAAAACAAGCTAACAGAAACCCCTAAAATTATTAAAACATTTAGTTGTGTGTTGATAATGCAAAATCCCAAAACTTATCATTCAGAAAGCTGTTGGAAGTGTACCTGCTGTAACTTGGATCTTTACCTACTGGGAAAACAAGACCCAAAGTTAGGGAATTCACGTTAGGATGCATGACTAGGACTCAAACACAGATTGCTTTAGTTCCACAGGTATTTACTGAGCCCCTCACATGTCGGGAGGGGAGAGAGAGCTGACAAGGGCAGGTTTTGAACAGATTCTGAATAAGGGGGAGATTCCTGAAAATCAGTGGAGGTTCAGTGTACAAAGTGAGCAAGTAACAAAAGGACTTAACCTGTTTGAAGAGGTGTCAGGGAAGTCTCTCAGGCAGGGAGGTTTAAGCTGGGACTTGAAGGATGATAGGAGATGACCAGGAAAAGAAGTCAACTCCAACTCATAGCGACCCCCGTTGGGTTTCCAAGCCTATACATCTTTATGGAAGTAGATTGTCTCATCTTCCTCTCGAGGAGCAGATGGTGGATTTGAACTGCCAATCTTGTGGTTAGCAGCCGAATGCCTAACCCACTGTGCCACCACAGCTCCTTGGTTAGGCAAAGAGGAGGTAGGAAAAGAGCCTGACAGGTCAGCTTGAGAGAGAGAGCATGGCGATGAGAGAGGCATCACATGGGAGGAACTGGAAAACGTCTGGTGTGTGTGTGTGGAGGAGAAAGAGATTGGGTGCAGACAGAGATTGAGAGAGATAGCAAAAGAGAGAGATGTAGAACCTGAGAGAGAGAGAGAGAGAGAGAGAGAGAGAGAGAGAGAGAGAGAGAGAGAGAGAGAGAGAGAGACAGAGAGAGAGAGAGACAGAGACAGGGAAGGATGCACATACGCAGAGAGGCATCACAGTGAAGGAACTGGAAAACATCTGGTGTGTGTGTAGAGGAGAAAGAGATTGGGTGCAGACAGAGATTGAGAGAGACAGAAAAAGAGAGAGACGTAGAACCTGAGAGAGAGAGAGAGAGAGAGAGAGAGAGAGAGACAGGGAAAGATGCACATACACAGAGAGGCATCACGTGGAAGGAACCAGAAAACTTCTGGTGTGAAAAAGAGAGAGACACAGAGAGAGGATGAGAGAGAGAGAGAGAGACAGAGAGAGAGAGAGACAGAGAAACAGAGGCATCATGTGGAAGGAACTGGAAAACGTCTGGTGTGTGCGGGAAGGGAGTAAGAGTAAGAGATTGGGCTGCAGACAGAGAGAGAGAGAGAGACAGACAGACAGACGGGGAGAGACACATCACGTGGAAGGAACTGGAACATGTCTGGTGCATGCAGGAGAGGAGTAAGAGATCGGGCTGGAGAGAGAGAGAGAGAGAGAGAGAGAGAGAGAGACAGAGCCACAGAGAGAGAGAAAGAGAGAATGAGACACACAGAGAGACCCAGAGTCAGAGCAGGGGGACCGTGGTGGCCCGGTGAGGTATGTTGGGGTCTGTTCTAAGAACTGTGGATTTTAAGAAAGTTTCCAGGCCCAGAAGTGATGTGATCAGATGTGTCCTGGGTTGGGGGAGAGGGGGACAGGGAGACCCAACAAGAGAGGCTGGCCAAGAGTCCAAGTGAGAAAGCCCCAGGGGTGGGACTGTCGGTGGAGAAAGTGCACGGATGGAAAGCACGTTTGGTGGTGTCTTGTGTCCTAGAGCTACTGTGACAAAGGACCACAGACTGGAGGCTTCAAGCAGCAGAAGTGTGCCTCCTCACAGCCTAGGGGGTCAGAGGCCTGAATTGCAGGTGCCAGCGGGGCCGCCTCTCTCAGAGGCTCCAGGGGAGGCCCCCCAGCTGTGGCAGCAGCAGCATTCAGTCCTGCCCCTGTCGCCACGTGGCCATCTGCCTTCTGTGTTTCTCCACCTCTTAGGAGAACGCCCACTGCAAAGAGATCGCTGCCGTTGTCAGGTGCCGTCGAGTCGCTTCTGATTCACAGCGACCCCACGTGCAACAGAACGAAACGCTGCCACGTCCTGTGCCAGCCTCACGGCTGTTGCTGTGTGAGCCCGTAGTTGCAGCCACTGTCAGTCCACCTTGTCGAGGGCCCTGTCCTTTTTCCCTGACCCTCTGCTTTACTGAGCATGATGTCCTTCTCCAGGGACTGGTCCCTTCTGATAATATGAGTACGTGAGGTGAAGCCCTGCCATCCTCGCTCGCAGGGAGCATTCCAGCTGTGTCCCTTCTAAGGCAGATTTGTTCGTCTGGCGGCGCATGGTATATTCAGTATCCATCAACACTGTGATTCAAAGGCATCAGGTCTTCAGTCTTCCTTACTCATTGTCCGGCTTTTGCATTCATATGAGATGAATGAAACACCATGGCTTGGGTCAGGTTACACTTTCTTCAAAGGGACAGCTCTGCTTTTTAACATTTTCAAGGGTTTTTAGCAGCAGATTTGCCCAGTGCAGTACGTTGCTTGATTTCCAGACTGCTGTTTCCCTGAGTGTTGATTGTGGATCCAAGTGAAGTGAAAATGTCGAGGCTCACTAATTACTTCACTTGTAGTGATCCTCCAGGACAGAGTAGAACTGCCCTTAGACTTCCCAAGGCCGGAATCTTTCTGGAAGCAAACTGTTACCTTTCTCTGCCATGGAGTGGCTGGTGGATTTGAACCACCAACTTTTGGATAGCAACTGAGTGCTTAAGTGCTGCACCACCAGGGCTCCCTAGATATCACTATGAGTTAGGATTGACTCTACAGCAACGGGTAGTTACTTAATTATATCTTCACTAATTACATTTGCAAAGACCCTCTTTCCAAAAAGGTCACATTCACAGGGTCCAGGGGTTAGGACTTTGCGTATCTTTTTTGGGACCCAACTTAACAGGTGGTAAACTGGAAAGGACCAAGGACAGACCAGATGTGAGGGTCACAGGGAACAGCTTGGGTTGCTGGCTTGGTCAGTTAGGAAGCAAAGCCGGCAGAGGGTGAAGATTTGGAGGGGATGATGGAAACTTCAGTTGTGGACATAAGGAAACCCGTTAGATGTGTGGGTCAGGAGCTTTGGGGAGAGAGAGGGCAGCGGGTTGGGGAGTAGGGAGAGGCTTCGGACTCATGTCACATTTCAGATGTGAGACAGACACACAGGTCTCTGCTGTTTGGACTCTGTCACCCGGACCTTCCGCCGCCCGGATGCGCTACCATCAGACCCTCTGCTGTTGGATGTACCAGGTTAACGTTGCACCGCTGAGGCTTAGTGTTGCAGATGTGCTTCATTTTAAAGAGAGGTGGGACGCTTCAGTTCACCACTCTCTCAGAGCTGCCGTGTGTCCTTCCGGTCCGTATTCTGGCGCCATCGTCTGTAAGAAGAGAGCTGTGTCAGCACGTGGTGAAGCACACGGACCCTGGGAGCACACGGGGGGCGCATCAGCCCCCTGGGCCAGCCTTCAGCTCTCTGGGCCCTGGCCACTCCTCTGAAAAGCATATCTCCTGGCCCAGACTCCTCACCACTAATTTCCTGGATTCAGCGTTGGGACTAGGGGCTTTAGGAGTAAGATGTGGCAACCAAGGCCAAAGGGAGAGACAAAAACGGCTTAAAGCCATGAAACCACACGAAAACAAAGAAACCGAAAACATCCCACAATGTTTTAGGCTGTTACTTAGTGTCCAGGAAACAGCACCACACGGACTCAAAGCTGCCTAGTGGACTAGTGCCACCTGTGCAGTGTGTAATAAAAACAGGGCCACAGTAAGGTCAGACTCTCAGTTTAAGTTTCTGGTGAAGGGGCAGGAGCTCCAGCTACCTGGGAGACAGACGTGCTCTGGTGGAAGCAAATCTTCAGCCGTGCTGGGCAGGTGGACGGTAACACCGGGCAGAGTCCTCAGCCGTGCTGGGTAGGGGATGGGAACACAGGGCAGAGTCCTTAGCCGTGCTGGGCAGGTGGACGGTAACACCGGGCAGTTACCTTTTCATTTGATGGAAGCGTGAGGTGAGGCTTCCAAGAGGAAGTGCCACCCTAGGGGAGTTAAGATGATCGACTACAAGGGGGCAAGGAGGGGACTTGAGGCCAGTGCGCAGCGGGCCCCACCATGGAGGATTTGGGGACCTGTAAGTAATCTGATAGGAGTCTCTGGGCAGGGCCAGTGGCTAAGCACTCGGCCAGCTGACCAGCCAAAGGTTGGTAGTTTGAACGCACCTGGTGGTGCCTTGTGAGACAGGC